CTCTTTTTGTAGTGGCAAATAACTGGAAACTTCTCATCAATTGGGGAGTGGCTGAATGAGTCAGGTATATGAATGTGATGAGACACTATTGTGCTATAAAAAATGATGAAGGGGATGGTTTCAGAGAAATCTGGGAAGACTTGTATGAACTGATGCAAAGTATAATGAGCAGAACCAGCAGAACAATTTATATAGTAACAGAGCTATTGGAAAGATAATTAACTTTGAAAGACTTAGTAACTTTGATCAATATAATGACCCACCACAGTTTCAAATAGACTTGTGATGAAATACATTATTTGCCTCCAGATACAGAGCTGATGGGCTTGGGGCTCAGACTGCAGATTGAAGCATGTTTTCTTCTCTTTCATTTTTTGTTTTCCCCTCTGTATTTTGGGAACATGGCTAATATGGAAATTTGTTTTATATAACTATACATAGTTGTAGTGAGTTTTGTTTTTCTTGCCTTCTCAATGGGTGAGGAAGGGAGAGAATTTAGAACTGAAAGCAAAACAAAATTGAGTTTCTAAAAAAAAAAAGTGCAAGTACCCTCACAAGGGTAGGTGTACTAAGTGTTCCATTCCTACACATACAATATATCTGTCTTTGAAAAAGGCCAGGCTCAGGATCTTCAGGATTAGAACCATCACCGGAAGGAGCAGAGTGCGAATTATTTTCACTTCAAGTGACTTCATTAAACAATATCTGGCACTTTTATAAAATTTTTAGGAACATGCATTTCTTTTTTGAGAAAAACTAAGCCAAACAAAAAAAAATTCTGTAACAAGAATCAGGTGCATCAAATTATATAATAGCTTAGATATCAGTGCAGGATGATAAAAAAAAAAATAACCCTGCAACATGAATAACATTTAATTCTTCACATATGGGTTAAAGATATGTGGAACCTCCTAACGGTCTCATTTAATACACAGTAAAGCTAAATGACTATCAAGAATCATAACATTCAAAGAAGTGGGAGTGATTACAAGCAGTATCAGTCACACAGGTAGGAAGAGTTACTATGTTAGTGAGTCTCTAACAGTACAAAACCTTCAACTCCATGACAACTGCATTTCTCAGAATATTTTGTCTAAGATCAACCCCAAAAAATAGGATCTGCTGACAATTCTATCTAATTAAAGCCCTCCTAATTTGAGTACCTCCTACTTGGGTACCAACTTGGTAAAGTGAAATGCAAAATATAAATAGAGTAAGTCCCTTCCCAGAGGATTCCTAAGGCAAACTAAACATGACACATAAAGGGGGAAATATAGACACACATTCCACCAAAGGTTCATGAAAATATGGAAGAGTAGAATAGATCTTGGCAGGGAACTCTAAAATAAAAGTAGAATAGAAAAGTTGGAACAGGTAGAAAAAATACACTCTATCCACATGCTCAGCAATTTTGGATTTTTTTTCCTTCTCTTTACAATACACCTAATACCTTTGTATTGGCCCATTTCTCAAAGTGGCTGGCTTCAATACTCGTGTACTTGGCTAGCTAGGTTCCTAAACTATGGGAGTGAAGGAGGAAACGACCACATTAAACAGATTCATGTGGATCCAGGGCACCATTACAGTATGAAATTACTTCTACTTGGGAGTGGGGTTTTAGAGAGTTCCTTTTTGGACTCTTTCAGAAGACAGGGGAAGTATATACCTAGATACAATTTTGTCATTTTAATGGTCACAATTTTGACTCCCTTTTTTCTTTAAGAGCCATTCTTGGCTAGAAGGAAAGCAGAAAGCTGGGGAACAATTTTTATAGCCAGTGTTTCTGATAAAGGCTTCATTTCTCAAATACATAGAGAACAGAATCAAATTTATAAGAATACAAGTCATTTCCCAAATGAAAAATGGCTGAACAAGTTGTGGTATGTGAATGTAATGGGATACTACTGTGCTATAAAAAATGATGAGCAGGATGACTTCAGAAAAACCTGGAAAGACTTGTATGGACTGATGCTGAGTGAAATGAGCAGAACCAGGAGAACATTGTACACAGTCACAGCAACACTGTGCGATGATCAACCATGATAGACTTATCTCTTCTCGGTAATACAATGATCCAAGACAATTTGAAAAGACTCATGATGGAAAATGCTATCCACACCAAGAGAAAGAACTATGGAGTCTGAAGGCATATTGAAACACACTCTTTACTTTTCTTTTTGTTTTTTTTTCTTTCTTGTGGATTTCCCTTTTTGTTCTGATTCTTCTTTCACAACATGACTAATATAGAAATGTTTAACATGATTGTACATGTATAACCTTTGTCATATTGCTTGCTATCTTGGGAAGGGGGTAGAGAAGAAAGGGAGAAAAATTTGGAATTCAAAATCTTACAAAAATGAATATTGAAATCTGTCTTTACATGTAAAGGGAAAAAATAAAATAGTATTAAGTGAAAAAAGAAAAGAACCATTCTCAGCCTTTCAGTATGAAACTTGTTCTAGACTCTGCATGAAATTAACGTGAACTAGTCAGTCACCTAAACAAATATGATCAAAGAAGTAACTATTCCCTGCTCCTACGAAAAGCAACACAGAAAGCAGAAAAGCAGAAAGGGCGACATTCTGGGAAACAGTTATTGTCATTCTCGTCATCATTATGATCATCATCAACCCTGGTGTTGTTTCATACCTGAGGCTGGTCAAATTACCAATATAATCCAACTAGATTGTTGGTCCTGACCATTCTCAAGGAATAGGCAGGCATAAGAATAAGGATGGGATAGGTATTTCCAAAGAAGCGTACATATTCGACTAGTAAATACTGCTCTCTGGCACAATATACACCTCTCCCTTCCTATTTTCACAACACAAACTCAAGTAGGTACAACTAGATTTCAAAGAGTTTTTAGAGATCATCTGGTCAAAAATCTCTCAATTGATAGATGAGGAGAGTGAAGCCAATGGAGGTTAGGTGAACTACTCAAGGTTACACAAGTAGTGAAGGAACTGAACTTTGATTCTTTGACTCCAAATAAGGCAATATTCTTTCCAAGACTGCACACTACTACCTCGATAAATACCACGTGCACAGCTGAGTGTCCAAGCACATCATTGTCTTTAAGTGCAGGGCATTTTACAAAAGCTAAACTAATAACTGGAATAAGTAATACATGATAAATAATAGTCATAAATATAGTAATGTATACTTACAACCAATTTTAAAAGTTTTTGTTTTCTTTTAAATTATGGTCATCAATCTTTTTGAAAATGCAATCTGAATCACTGAACCAGCCTGTCAGGATCAGAAGGTATCTCAGCTAGATAGAACAAGGTATCATTATAGGTTTTTTTTTCTCTCTCCCACCCCTATTTTAGCAGTCAACATAGCTACAATAAGAAACAAAAATGTCTGCTTAATTCTGTCTTGAGTAATCAGTCACTAAACTTTTCACGTCTGTACAATGCAATCAAAGTGGAAAATACAAAATTTTTCTGACCACACTATTTAGAACTTTGTAAAATGGTAATGATATCACATTTTAATAAATTTTTAATTCTGGCAATTCTTTAAAGTGAAAGACTATGGCATGTTTCAGTCGAACATCAGTTACATGATTAACAAAAGACAATACAACAGACCAACCCCAACATAGTTCTACTACTTTAGCTCTCCAGAAACCAGACAGACCTCAAAAGAGAGGTTTTGTTGGTTTAGGAACTCATTGTCTATTGTTTTAAAAAATATAGTCTGTAAAGAATCTTTGACAAGCATGATTAAATGTTGCAATTATAAGGTTTTTAAAGTGAAATGTAAACTATAAAGAGAGTACAGCACTTCCCAGAGGATTCCTAAGGCAAAATTAATATGACACACATAGGAAGGAAATACAGGGTGTCCCAAAAAGATTTGGTGCAATCTTAAGCTAAGAAAACTCAAAACTGCACTAAAAAATTTGGAATATCTCATAGAGATAACTTCACAGAAGGTAAATTAGATTAGGGAAGAGCAGAATAGGCCTTGACAGAACACTCCAAAATGAAAGTAAAACAGCAGGAACAGGTAGAAAAATGTTTGTTACAAGTTCAGCCATTGAGGATATTCTTTCTTTATGGTATACCTAATACCTTTAAGTTGGCACATTTCTCCAAGAAGATGGCTTCAATTTTAAACTCATAAACTATGCTGTTGCATTTCTTTGTAATCATAAGGCTTAAGACAGCGCCTGGTTTATGGTACTTAATAAATGTTTGTTGACTAATAAGTGCCTGTTGTCACGCATTTCTCAAAGCCATAGCTGGATTTTCTAGGCTAAAAAAATCATATCTGTTGAAGTAACAAAGACTCTAGAGTAATATCTATTCTAAGAAAACACCAGCTCCAGTCCTGTACTCTTGCAACACTGATATGTTAGGGGATAGGGAGGGAATGGTTTTGAAAGAGACTTCTATTATTAAGTCATGGAACTTGGGTGGTAAAAAATATCTTTTCTGTAAAGCATCTGTTTAATTTAGAAAAGTATTCTTATGTGAGAAAAACTAAGGATGCTACATTAAGGGATGGGACGATTTTATCTAGTCCTTGAGGGCAGAAACTGTCTTTTGTTTCTTTTTGTATCCCCAGAGATTAGCACAGTGCCTGACACATAGTAAGTGATTAATAAATATTGACTGAATGATTGATTCTGTCCCTACATTTCAGAAATGCCAAAACTGAGGCTTAAAGTGGTAAAGTGACATTTTCAAGAGCCCATTGATAACAACACTAATTCAAACTCAAATCCTCTGACTCCAAATCCAATATTTTTTCCATTCCAGAATGTTATTGAACAGATCAAAACATTTTCTGCCTAAATATCCCTCCAAAATCTTAGAAATTATGACAATATTTTATACATTAGAAATTTTGGAAACTACAATATGGCATGACACACACAACAAATGAAATTTCAGAACTCAAGCATTCAATTAAGTATATTTATATAGTAGTGGATAATTAGAATTAAAAAATAAGTCAATGAAAGTAAAGCAGCAAAATCTCACCTATCCTTGTAGTTTATTACAGTGTCAATAATGGCATTCATCTGCTTTGTCAGTTTGGGGGGATTTGGCGACAATTTCTCAGCTGGAGGTCGGCCTCTTCTCTTTTTAGCTTTTTCCACATCTTCCTTCCCAGGCTCCTTCTCCACATTTCTTCGTCTTTTTCGTTTCTTGAGCCGAACTTCCTCTTCCATTTCTTCCAGATTACCGTCTTCAATTGCCTATCATCCATAGGTGTAAAAAGGGGGGGGGGGCAGAAATCAGTACAATTAAAAAAAAAAAGAAATTTGAATGGTCAGAATGAATAAAATTTAAATACTAAAGAAAACTAAAAATTGACAGTAATCATTGGACATAAGTAAAACATTACCACCATATTGGATAGACACATCTCAAACCTACTTTGGCTTCATCAAAACAACCTAAAGGCCTATACAGCTCTAATAGGAAATATGAGTAAGTTTTATAAAGAAAAAAAAAGGCACAACTCTAAACATTATCTGCTTAAATACAACTGAATCCAAATGAAATTAATCCAAACAAAAGTAAGGAGCAGAACTTGGTGTCCCATTATTACAAGCAGGTGGAAAAATTCCTGTGACTACATCTTCAATCAATCAGACACAAAATTCAACCTTTTTTCTTTTTGGTTTTCTATTAATTTATTCTTGATTCATAAAATAAAACAAATCAAAATTCTGTCTAAATTTTGTAATTTCTGCACCATAAATAAGACCAGAAGGAATTACAAAGCCACATTTCCTTACAAATGCACTTAAAGCACACACACCGCCACAAACAAAAAACACTTTCTCCAAATTACCTGCAAACGTTTGCCTTAAACACAGCCAGCAGCTCTAATGCAGAGGGATAATAAAATAGCTACAAAAAACAACCAGGTATAAAAGAAACCTGTTCACAAATGGCTAAAAGATCCATGTGACAAATACAGAAGTTAAACTTTCTTTCTGGGTAAATTACAAAACTTAAAAAATAAGAAAGAAAAAAATAGGAAAATAAAACATGCAAAAAACAGAAAATTTGACCACACAAGGAAAAAAATTAAATAAATCTTTAAATCAGATTTTAAGATTAATGCTTTCTTGAAACATAACTGATGTTGTTATTTGTTCCTCCTGCCTCCCAATATTGCCTTGAGTATGCAAATGATAATCAATCCTTTCTCGAAACTGAAAGAGCTCTAATCATAAGGCAATTACCTTCATTTCTCCACAGCACCAAACATGGCTAATATTTATGATCATGTGAGTATAACAATCAATATAAAGAGTGATTACAGCTCAGACATCATTTCTTTCACTTATGTACAATGTCTACTAAAAAAAAAAAGGGTTTTGTGAAGAAAACCTGGTGCAAAACACAAAGCAACCTGGCATGTTAAAAATGCCAGGGGGATTTCAAAATCTGTTTCCTATGCATCCTCCGATGTGCAAATCCATAGAACAAACATGAACACAGAATCCTGAGGGACAGTCTGAGACTAGGCCTTAATAATCAAAAGACAATTTCCATCACGCTTCCACAGTGCTCAGATAACCACTATGAAGGAGCCTCGAGATCTGATGAGTTAGGAGGAAAAAGGAAGAAAAAAAAATCTGCACATAATTTCATTAGTATTCATTTGGCTAAAACAGGACATCCACTATACAGTAATACACATTGCAGCTAGCGAAGATGAAGAAAAAGAAACTGGTCCGCAAATCTTGGAAGCTGAAAATGCTAATAATAAATACAGCATGCAAGGCTGTCAACAGTTAATGTTATTTGCTCTCCATAAGCACCCAGTTGTACACAGAAATCCGGACGGAGAACACCGGCTTTTGATGTGTCACACACCTACACATGCCTGGGATGTAGCTCTACTGAATCTTCAAGACGGCAATGAAAAAAGATATTTACCTTACCACTATCAGCAGGCCGGCTATCGGAAATCACAGTTAGTGGGGATAAAATTAACAAGCCAGCAAAGCAGCGAGCTGCTAGTCTCTTCATCAGCTGATCAGGAAAAAAAAGAGAGCTGGGGAAAGGCTATGTTTTCATATACAAGTAATTTTATTTTACTGAAAATTTAATACTGAAAGGATTGTGGATACTCAAATCTGCTGTTTCATTCTCCCTACTACAAGGCCCGAAGCCTCCTTCCTCCAGCCTGCTTTAATATTGACAACTACTTATCATATTTTCCCCTTATTATTCCAGGCAGCAGAATTAGATGGCTATTAGCTCAGGTGGTTTCTGATTACTGCTAGCATTTTACTAATTATATCAACATCAAACAATTTAATATCTAATTTTATTTAAAAAAATAAAAACAAGGTATGTAATTTTTGTGTTTTAAAACCTATTTTACTTATTGTACATAACTGTTTTGTTTTCTGAATAGGATGCATAGGACTTGAAGCATTTAAAATGATTTTTAAAATAGAAAAAAAGGACAAAAGGAAAATATTTTCATTTTAATGTACTTAAGGAAAACAATGTGTATTTATTAAAACCCAATTATTTAGCACCATTTTTTTCTTTAAAAATTCTTAATTGTTACACTTCACTTTCATTTTCATCCTGTACAAAATTATCTTTTTCCCCCCTCCCCTTAAGTGAGTTGTAGGGTGAAAGGGAGGAGGGTCCTAAAAAGGGTTTTCTTTTTTCACTCCTCAGTTTTTTAGACAAAGGAGCACAGCCTAAGCTTAAGGTGTTTGCTATTTTGAGTCTCTAAATCTATGAGTAGTTGATAAGTGAAAATAAATTAAACTGGCAACAGATTAGTGAAAGTCTTTAAGGTACATACTAAGCCGTGCATATTAATTTTAAATTTCAGATTTAGAATTGCATGGAATTATACTCAAAAGTACTGACCACTCCTCCACTTAAGGTTGTATGCAGGAATGCAGAGAACCATAAGACATCTTCCCTCCTCCCCAAAGCCCCCAAACATTCATACTGCAGGGCTTAATGTTCACTGATTTCTAATGGTCTTTTCCTAGTGTAAATAAATTTCCTAAATATACCCTAATGCTTTTTTCACTTATAAAGTTCAGTAAGATCACTTCTGCATGTAAGCCAAATGATCATTTGGAGGTTATAAACTGTCGTTGTTTTTTAAGTTGATTTATCAAGCTGGTTCAACTGACTGAACTCTGTGCTAAGGGGTAAAAAAAAAAATTAAAACTAAAAAAAAACCAACTGAAAAAGAAAAACAAAACAAAAAACCAAAGCCAAAAAAAATTTGCTATACAAAGCTAAAGTACCACACAAAAAGAATTCCCTTCCAAACCTTTAACCAGCACAATAATGAAATAAATCACAGAAGCAAACCCCCAGTTTCCGACTGGTGACGTCTGGCGCAACAGTGCGAGAGCCCTAATTCAACATACAGACGTCTCCCATGCTGAACTGCCTCTAGACTTAATGAAGTGAATAGGAAGGAAGTCAGGGGGAAAAAAAAGTGTACAAATAAGAAATTAACACTTTCCTTCCCTACTGAAACAGAGATCTACAACTATAGCTAAGTTTCGTGAGGCATCTGTTTTCTTAAAGGCACACCGTACTCATTCTGCTTGGGGCTTTATACTGAAAGCCCAGATGGTGATACTAACTTCAGCCAAGTTCAAATAGTTAACTGTATACTTCGGCTTGCATTTCCCTGAACGAAAAGTGGGTATTTCTCTTTCCACCACTGGATGGCAACCTTTTTTATGGAAAGAAGGCATTTTTATGGCATAGGTTGTGCAAGAACATGTTAATAGGACCTCAAACTGGCTCAGAGCCAGCCTTAGCTAGCAGGGGCCAGCAGCAAATTCCACTGACAAAAGGGAAGAAAAGTATCATAAAAAATGATCTGTTCAGATGAAATATTTTAAGAAAGCGAAACCACGATAGAAAGCACCTGATGGCACCAGAGTCTGTGAGTTGAATCAAGCCTCCTTTTTTACACAATAACAGTGTATATCTTTTTCATTTTAACATGGAAAGCCTTTTCATGAACATTATGCCCACAACACATCAGTACAGAGGACATATTATGCTTGTTGCTCCTGGCTTTGTGAATTTGGCTGTGTACGACCCCCAAATGAGTGTCTCTGCTGATGATTCTCAAATCTACCTGTCCTGCCCCAGCCTATCTGCTGACTTCCACTCTCACATCTGCAACTGTCCTTCAGACATCTCACACTCAGTATGTCCAGAACTTGTTCTCTTTTCCTCCTAAATACTCCCCTGCCACCCCGCCCCCTTCCCTGTTACTGTCCAGGACAACACCATCCTCCTAGTCCCTCAGGCTCACCACCTAGGAGTCCATCTTGGATTCCTCACTATCGCTCCCCTCCACAACATAAATTAATTGCATCCAAGACCAGTTGATTTCACCTTGCAACACCTCTCTAATATGCCCCCTTCTCTCCTCTGGTACTCTGCCAGCACTCTAGGGCAGACCCTCATCACCTCATGCCTGGACCATTGAGACAGCCAGCTGGTGGGTCTGTCTGCCAATTCTCTCCAATTAATCCTCCATTCAGCCACTGAAGTGATTTTCCTTAAAGCACAGGTCCGACTTTGTCATCCCCCTACTCAATAAACTCCAGTGGCTTTCCATCACCTCCAGGATCAAATACAAAAAGCTCTTTTGGGCATCAAAGTCTTTCATGACCTGTCTCATTCCCACCTTTCTAGTTCTTAAGCCCTCCTTCCCAACACATCTGGGGATCTTTGATCCCAAGACATTGGCCTCCTGGCTTGTTCTCAAATAAGATATTCCATCGCTTGGCTACAGGCATTTTCTCTGGCCCTGGATGCTCAACCTCCTCCAATCTGACTCCTGACATCCCTAGCTTCCTTTAAGTCTCAACTAAAATCTTGTCTTCTACAGGAAGTCTTCCCTAGCCCCTCTTAATCTCAGTGCTTTCCTTCTGTTAATTATTTCCTATTTGTTGTATACATAGCTTGTTTTGCATGTATTTGTTTGCATGCTGTCTTCTCCATTGGATTGTAAGATCCTTTAGGGCAGGGACTGTCCTTTGCCCCCCCCCTTTTTTTTAATATACCCCGATGCTTAGCATAGTGTTTAGCATAATGCAGTAAGAACTAGTAAGGGCAGCCAGGTGGTGCAGTGGATAGAGCACTGGGCTTGGAAGCAGGAAGACTCATCTTCATGAATTCAAATCTGGCCTCAGACACTTACTAACTGTGTGACCCTGGGCAAGTC